GGTGGCGTTACCACTTTTTGCGGTACAGTGAACAGGCAGCGGCCATCTTGTCCGCCATGTTGTTCTTTGCCTAAGACTCAGTAAGAAGACGCCGCCTACATTTACTGCTCATGTATGATTAGTGAATATAGCGCCGTGGAGACCTGTTATTATAAGGTCGATGTTGAATACTAGACTACCGTTAATTAAAATAACTTGTGGAAATCCCAACTTCTTCATCTGTCGACTCTTTGAGCTAACGGCTAACCCTGCTAGCCTCTCCGACACCCCTTCACGTTACATGTTTATTCCAACCTTTTTAAACTGGCAAAACGAGCTATATAAACGCCAAATTCATCTGTTCCTTGTCAAGGAGTATTAAAGAGTGGAGAAATACTTACCAAGAAGAAAAATTTACCAAATGTGCCCATTTAGACATTTTCCAGAAGTGATGGCTAACAGTACACCTTACAACTTTCTGCTCACGTGCTGCCCTCCTGTGGTCACATGCTGTAACTACACCCCTGAATCAGAACACTGAAAACTTTTAGAAATTAGGCTGTGTGACAGAATAAAACCATCTAAATATTACACTATTCCATGCCAAATAGATAAATGTGGTTATTTGGCTGTGATTTATTTAATCTGAACCTAATCATAAATCAAACCAAATTACACTACACTCCTGGTTTTTTTGCAAAATAAATTACGTCTAGAACTTTTGAAAAGAGTAATTTCTTAAGAGTAAATTCTGATGGTAAAGCTTCAGCTCAGCTGGTTTGAAGTTTCCGTTTAGGCCCAGATGCTGGAACAAAAGAGAAAAAAACAACTTTATATTCACTCAAAAAATAAATTTGCAGGTTGTTTTCAAGTTGTTGCTGTTGCACATGTTCATTCTTACCTTTTTAAACTGGTAAACTTGATGAACAGCAGCTTCTTCTGCTCCTGGTGAACGAGTGGGGAGGATGTTCAGGTTAGTGTGCATCACAATTTAAAACCAAAGACACTTTCAACTCGACCAGAAAGGAGTCGACTGTGCAGGTGTGGAACAAACCTGCTTACCTGTGCAGGTGTGTAGCTAACAGGACAGGAAAGCTGGCCTCAGGTGTGGGACCCAGCCCTCAGTCTGGACCCGGCCTGTAGGACCTCTGGACAGCAGCTTTTAGTCAGACTCACCTGAAAACGCGGAGAGCGCGAGACAAACGCAGCTCACGCACCCCCAAACGTCCTTATTCCCTCCGCCAGCCACGTTCCCGCCCACTAATCTGCTCACCTGCTCTGGCCGCCAGGGGGCAGCAGCCGGCCTGCAATCAGCGGCT